ATATAGTTTATAGTATATTTTATCTATTTTAGATATTTATACAATAGTTTATTATATATTTTATTAGTATATTTTTTACAGAATTCTATTTAAAGCAATATTTGCTTTAATATTTAAATTATTAGTTCATTTAATGTAACAAAACACAGAGCAAGGCTACACAAATAACACAAGCATATGTGCTACCTCAGAACCTTCTAAAACAATATACTAATAATTATTTGATTATATTATTAAATTTAGAAATTATAACATTATTATAGAAGTCTTCAATCAGACAACATTGAGTACCACAGTTATTGTTTTCTGACTTAAGATTTAATTCTTTAATAATGCCAACTTTAACTAATTTAAATGTATGTATTACCCAATATTTAAAAGTTGGATTTTTATGTTTACTTTTAGGGTTTTGTAAAAAAGTTAAACAATGATCATATTTTGATTAATTCATTATGCACCTTTCATTTTTTTAATTATTCATATAATTGTTTACAATTTTTTCAAAGGCTTGAGGTGAAAGAAATAAAAAAACTAATGAGTTATTAGAGGTTATATTGATACTAAAAAAAAGAAATAAAAATCGGTAAAGTTTTATTAAATATCGATTGTATCTTTTTTATATGATTAATTGTATGATGAATTGTATTATTATATATTCAAAAAAGTTAAATTTGAGCGCAGTTAATATATCACATTTCAATCGGTATAATTTTTGAAACGACGCATGTTAATTTGAAACACAGAGATCTAATAAAGCAACATGTGACATTTGTACCAAAATTTATTATACCGTATAATTTCCATCCCTAATTACAGTACATAAATAATTAAGCCTATTCTAAATGTAAGTCTAGATTTTGATAAGTAAAAAAACTAATAAATTCGATGATAGGAAATAAATAAATAGAACATTTCAATAATACTCAAATATTGAACATTTTCTAATAACTATACTTTGTCTTTGGCAGCTCGCAACGTATATTTTACGGTAAGCCAAACAAACCTCGAATGGCCCTTTAATTGTTTTGTTTGTTCATCAATTCCAACAAATCTAAAATAAAAAATTAATCAACAATAATCAAATATTTAGTATAAAATAATAAAATATGCTATTTATTTTTAGCTATAAAAAATTAATCAATAATAATCAAATATTTAGTATAAAATAATAAAATATGCTATTTATTTTTAGCTGTAAAGTTATACTTTTAAGTTATATATTTTTTATTTAATCATTAGGGCTAATTATAATTATGATTTAAATAATAAAACTGGTTACTTATAACTGTAGCCAAATTTGTTAATTATTTAACCAAATTCAAAATGGTACAGTACGGGACAGCAAAAAACATCTAATTTTTTAGCAATTGTTAAATATCTAATAACTTTATAACAAATAATTATTTTAAAAATTTCTCTTACAAATTTATTATTTATAACCTAAACTACAAATCTGTAAGACAAATTTTTAATATCTTGCTTTTTACAAAAGTTATAAAAGATCAAAGTTTGGTAATTTTATTAGTAAAGCAGAAATTTGGTACAAAGAAATTAAACAATTATATTTAGTACAAGTTATATGCTAGCAATTTTATTGGTTAATGCTCATTATTAAAATTAAAAATTTAGCATTTATTATATAAAAAAAATAGTTTATATATTTTTTTAACTAATTAAAATTTTTTATATAAAATTAGCCAATCAAAATTGATTAAATAATTGTAAATTTGGCGCTTTGTATAAAAAAAATTAGATGTTTTTTGCTGTCCCATACTGTATAATTCTGAATCTGACCAAATAATCTGCAAATTTAACCAAAATTATAGTAATCAGTTCCACTATTTAGATTATAATCAAAATTAGCCCGAATATTAAAAATTATAAACAAAGTGATATAAGGTTAATGATAGTTGCAAGTCTTAATAAAAACTCAAGTAGTTGAAGTTTCTTATTAGTAATCTTATTTTGAATTGTACCAATAATTTCTTTTTTAGAAGTATGCAATTCTTTGCCAATTGCAATACTACCAGCACCAATCTGTTTAGAAAGGTAATCACAAGCTTGATTATATTTGTTTATCAAATCAACTTTGTATTTAGATATAACATTTTTTAGATATGAGATATTAACAGCAGTTGCAAAACTAGATGAAACTCGGGTAACTTGGGTTTTTTGTTAGTAATTTTCTTTTGAATTGTAAATAATTATCTTTTACTTAGGAAGGCCAAGGCCATTACAAACTGTGTCATCTAGTTGAATGCTGTCATCATCTTTTTGTTTAAATACAATGTCTTCATGTTTATAGAAAGTTGAATCTTGAATAACAGCAATTGCACGTCTATTTTTTCATTACCTTGTTTTTAATTAAGAATTGGTCACATGCTACATATGATTCTTTTTCCTCTTCAGGGCCTTTACATTTTGACTAATCCACGTTGCTGCACGTCTACAGGCGGATTTCCACTCATTCTCACATTCAGGCAGCACGGTTTTTAGATATGTGACTGTAAGAGCTGTACACCATAAGGGTGAATCACAACCTCTCAAGTGTAAGCTTCTTATATAACGTTTGAGTGATTCAACATCGTTATCGATTGAACGGATTTTAAGATGGCAAAGATTTGTTTATGTAAGGTGAATGTGCCATCTTTCTCTCGAGAGTTACAAAGTGTGCGAGCAATTGCATCTCTGATATCATCACGAAGACACTTATGAACGGCTTTACGTGTTTCATAACAATAACATCGACCTCTTCTTGGGTCTCTTTTGTAATTCCACCTTCTTTGTTAATTAAATCAACACCTTGTTGAATCAAATATTGATCACAAGCTGAGTATAATT